CCTTTTCCCCAAAATAAAAAAATCTATCTGAGGGCTGCGGCCAAATGCAATAGTATAATTCATGAAATACAAATACTTCTTAAGTACAGTCCTTTTATTTTAATGATTATGTCCTGCTGGAGTGTGACATGATTTGTTTGTGTACAAACTAATACGGTATCAAAATTTTATATGTTTATACTTCTCATTCAACCACAATTAAATACACTCTATCTAGAAGGCACAGCTTATATGGATAATATTTATTTTTTACAATAAGCAGCTGGGATGAAAACAAGCAAAAATTAAAGTAAAGACTTTCTACTTCTAGCCTATTTAAAAAATGTAAGGAGTAGAAAGTACAGGTAATTGTGTGAAAATGTAGGGAGGAGAAGTAAAAGGTAGGCTGAAAAATAATTACTCAAGTAAAGTACAGATACCCAAAAATTCTACTTAAGTACAGTAAAAAAGTATTTGTACTTAGTTACTTTACAACTCTGGTTGAGGATGACTCTCAATTACTACCATAACAAATTTTAGCTCAGTGTTGTAGAGGTCACTGCAACTGACCCCTCCACCTTATTATTTGGCGATGGGCAAATAAAAGATTCTCAAGACAAGAAATCTTAAGGAACAAAAACTGTTAAATCAATGTTTATTATTTGTTTGTTTTTTGCAGTGTTCAAGTCTCTTTAGTTGTGAATAAAATAGGATCACAGCCTGTACGTTACACTACTATCACACTTGATTAAAAATAGAAACATATATTCCAAGTACTTTTCAGACTTAAATGCTCCACTGGTGCTATTTAAAAAATACCTGTTATAAAACACTCATTTGGCCTAAATCCACTGTAGAAACGCCTCCAACAACACTGTAAATCAGTAATGAAGCCTGTAAATAAGTCATTTTGTTCTGTTATCATTCATCCTGTTTTTTCTACAATCCATTAATTACTGAAGAATAAAAAATAAATAAATAAATTAAACTGTTTCATCTATAGAAATAAATGCACATACAATGGAGTTTAAAAAAGATGGCACATTTATTGCAACATAAATGTTATATACATTATGTTTTCCTGTTGAAAAAGACAGAAAATTCAAATTCTTGCTGCCACAAATTTTTTTCTTTTGATGTGCATCGACAATACTTTTTATTTGACACAAGAACAAATCTTTTTATTTTAATCAATCAACAACAGAGACTGAAGAGATTGATGGAAATCCCTCTTTTTTAAGAATCTGGAGTCTTTTTTTATTATTGTTATTTTTAAGAACCCGACCTTGAGCAGAGGTTTTTGGAGATGCCATTTGTAAAATCTCTCTCATTATAATCGACACGTTGTGGTAAATAACCGTACATTTTACTATCTAATATAGTAAAATAAAGTAAGAAACTTTTTACTCAAAACTTTTGCTTTCAAAAATCTAGAAAGAGTAATATTTAGAATTCAAGAAATATTCTTACAGTATCATTGTATAAAAGACTAACTACAGTGAAAAATAAGCCAAATGTTTTTTTTTCTTTTGATTTTTTTGTTTTTCATCATATATTATACAAGGAAAAGCATCTGGGAATACAGCAAAGTCTATGGCAAACAAAAGAGAGAATAAACACAGGAAGGACAGGAAATTTGAACAAAAAATRTTGATTCTGTCCCTGTCTGCCCAGATCATGCCTCAGTTTAGTTTTATTATCTTATTTCATGTTCCAGTTTCTCCTCATTGTCTTGTTCCCAGCCTGACAGCTCACATCCAGCTCCTCATTGCTCTCGCCCCTTTCACTCACCTGTTTCCTGCAGAATATAATCCAGTCTCACTCTCAGATTATCATCAGCTTGCCTGTGATTCTCCAGCGTTTTCAAACATTTCTCGTTTTTTGCCTCTTGATCCTGACCTTGTTCTTGTCCCCTGGTTTAAYGGTTCTCACCTCAGCCCTGATCGGTACCTCCAGCCATCTGACCACCTGGATCTCGACCCACGCCTGTACCACGGATTATCAGAACTTGCCATTTGGACCCAAACACTCCAACCAAACTAACGGTGACGTCACCGCACAGTGCTGGAACGCAAACCCTTCCATCAAAGTTTCCATCTGGAGTTCARCTGGAAACAGGTTAGTGGCTTTAATTCTTTAGAAAGTCTCCTATATCGTTCTGCCACTAATCTGAATTTCCTGTGTTTAGATCTGACGAGAATCCGGTCCAAGCACTTCCTGGTTCATTCACCTCTGCACAATAAACTTTGTCTTGGTCAGGTGCTTATCCAGAACTCAAAACTCGGTTCTTATCAAAGAGCTGGAAGTGACAGATTAAACCCTCAGTTTGCAAACATGAATATGAGGCGATGAAATACTGAGAAGAAATTTAAAAATCCACATTCAGAATTTAGAGTAATGGATCCGTTTTTGATTATAAACTCCACCTGGGTTTTATTTATGGTTCTGAATGTGGCAGCCTCGGTGAACATAATCACAGGACATGATACACAAACAAATATTTGGAATATAAAGTAAAGTCTTAAGACAAATAATAGGAGAGATGTGAAGCATGCACACTGATGGGGAAAACAAAATAAAGCCTTGAAATATTAAAAAAAAAATAGAAAACAGCTTTTGTTCATTCTCGCCCTACAGTCCAGTAAGATCAAACAAATCCACCAAATCTGCAGCCTGGCGAACTTAACTTTGAGTTTTGATCTAAACGTCATTCAAAATAACTTATACTGTAAATGTTTTCTCTGCTGGCTGAAACTGGACATGGTGCTGGACGTTGGAAGACATACGGACTCAGAAAATAAGCACAACTAAACATATGAATAAATGCAGTGACACAAAGTCATCAAATGGTAACAAAGAAAACATATGTTCATCGGGCCAGGAGAAAATGTGGTCGTCGTTTTTTTTCTTTTAAAATTTTTACTTTTATTACACCTTAAGGTAGTATCTCATCAGGCTGCGACTGGTAGTTGGTTGCAATAATCTGGGAATTTTCAAAGTTAGAAATGTTCCACAGGGACTACCAGTTCATGGGGATAAATGGGACAAAACCTGGAAATTAAAAAAACATTTTAGCATATTATAAAAACTGAAGTAAGCTTTGAATTCATTGTGTAAATATTTGATAAATATGCTAAMACAAGGTCTAAATAAAAATTTAGATTACAAACTTTTTTTTCTAGGGCAGACTTTTTTATATCTCGAAATTTATGTGTGTTTTTATGTAAAAATATAAACTGTAAGTAAAAAATATCAGAAGCAAAATAAAAAATAGAAGCCGAATCAGTGATGGTCTTAAGCTGTGCGAGTTTGTTGGACAGTTCCRGATTGAGTTTTCAAATATCTGGATTGTTTCCAGAAATGTCCTCTTCCTTCCTGCTAGCATCATGCATCCATGTTTTTAATTTTTCAGAATCACATATTTTCATTACTGAATTCTTGGCTGTTCTCTTCATCTGCCCACACGGTGTCCATCTCGGCCCGTTTTGTACCCACCCTGGTACATTTTGTACCCACTTTGGCAGCCTCCTCCATGCACACAATTTATTGAACCAGAGTACACATTTGAAATGAAGATTAGCAGATCCYGACCCTTTTTTAAATGACCATCATTGATTATTGGAATGGTTTTTAGACGTGCAGGTGTCTGGAGGTATTAAAATACTCTCCTGAGACAGGTTGGGGACACCCGAGACAAAACCACGACAGGTTCAAGATGTGTTTGAGACRTCTGCAACGACTCTG